ATACCTCAATTTCAATGATGACTCCGGTCCCAGAAGGAACATAACTATTTGGTGCGCTTGAATTCGCTCGAGGTCTTTAGCATCCAAATACTGCTACGATTGGCGCCGATTGTCATGACTCATTTCTAACCTGCTTTAATGATTCTCTTAAGAAGTGACAGCGCAGCTTCTTTGAAAAAAAAAAGAGCTCTAGTAATACAGTGTCAGTTTTGCTTCTTATGCGTTGTAAGATGCGCAGCCACCTAGCTTTTTGGCTGTATCCATGTGTATGATTCAATCTTTAGTGAGGAATACTCCTATCTTGCCTGCCATTTTTAGTCCTTTCGGTACGTGCTCTCTGAATGGTAATTTGTGAACCAGTTTTAGACCTCCTCGAACTACTATTAAAAGAGGAATTTGCGCTTAAATGTTGGTGCGATCTAAGACGCAGTACCTGCTTAAACTGTTAATATTGGGGTTGCCAGCCTCGATGACTGTCCAAGTTTGAAATTTATAGATTGGTATTCGTCGTGAAAAGAAAAAAAGAACGATTGTTCCTAGAAATTTTATGTATTTCTAGGTTTCAAAAATCCTAATAAAATTAGATTCATTATCAACGCTTCAATTGCCGTTTACAATCATTAGCTACAGTATGCCTATTTCTAACTTTTTCACCGAACATTTTTATGTAAAGGAAATTTTTGTAGTAAGAATAGCCCAAAAACCTACTGGACTTAATGATGGTGATATCTCAACTGATTTAACCAATATATTAATAATCATTTTGATTTATCAACGAGCTGTAGATGTTGGCAAAGTTCCTCAATATATCAAATAACCTTGCGGAAATTATGAAAGTCTGTGAAGTAGTGGTGATAAACTCTGTTATGTACTAATAGAAAGTACAATTCCACCATTTTAACAGCTAAACTTAACAGAAAATAATTGAGATACTGTTAATCTGCTGGAATATTCATTGAGCAGTAGCTACAGTAGTGTAGGAATTAATCTATAATGAAAGCGTGGGGCGTTCAACGCAGAAGTGCAAGCCATG